TCACAACAGAACCAGTGCAAATAGTAATGGTAGTAAAAGAATACTGTGAAGCATTGTACTCCAATAAATTTTTAAGTCTAGATCAAATGGATGAATTTTCAGAAAAAAACAACCTGCACAAACTAACATATGGTGAAGTAAAAACTTGAACAGACCTATAACAAAAGGATAAATTGATCAGGTTATTTAAAATATCCCAAGGAAAGTTCTGGATATAGATGACTTTATTAGTGATTCTACCAAAAATCCAGAGACAAGCTGCCAAAATTTGTATTCAAACTATTCAGGACAAAGAAAAGGATTCAAAACTCACAAATACATTTTATGAAACAAGTATAGTCCTCATACCAAAAATAGACAAAGAGATCACTAAAGAAGAAAATTCTAGATCAATATGCTTCATAGATGTAAATGCAAAAAACACAACACAATTCTAGCCAATAGAATTCAACATCATGTCAAATAATGATAATAATAATAATACATCATGATCAAGTGGGATTTATACCAAAGTTTTAAGGCTCATTCAATATTAGAAAAACAATCAATATAATACACCATATAAATAATACAAAGAAAAAGTATCACATGATAATATAATTTGATTCAGAAAAGCCATCTGACAAAACACAACATCCATTCTTGATGAGGACTCACCAAAGTAGTCATAGAGGGGAAATTCCTCAACATAATTAATAGCAAACATTCAAATTAAATAGGCATTGTTATTCTCAATAGAAGGAAACTGCAAGCATTTCCTTTGCTAACAGTGACCAGACAAGTATATGCTTTATCACCAATCCAATTCAATATTGTGTTTAAAATTTTAGCATGAACTATAAGGCAAAAAAGGGAAATTAAAGGCATCCAAATTGGTAAACCAGATTCAGAAGAGGATGTGGAATGAGAGATATCATTGCTTATGTCTGATTGATCTTGGCTGAAAACAGAGATTACCAGAAAGATGTTTACCTGTGCTTTATTGACTATGCAAAGGCTTTAGATTGTGTAGATCATGAAAAGCACACATAATTGTGCTCATGAGGAACCTTAAATGGACCAAGAGGCAGTTGTTCGAAAAGAACATGGGGACACTGAAAGGTTTAAAATTAAGAAAGTTGCACGACAGGGTTGTATTCTTTCACCATACTTACTCAACCTATATGATGAGCAAATAATCTGAGAAGCTGGGCTATATGAAGAAAAGCGTGGCATCAGGATTGGTGGAAGACTCATTAACAACCTGTAATATGCAGATGATACAACCTTGCTTGCTGAAAGTGAAGAGGACTTTAAAATATTTACTGATGAAGATCAAAGAGCACAGCTTTCAGCATGGATTGCATCTCAATGTCAAGAAAACCAGAATCCTCATTACTGGACCAATAAACAACATTCTTATCAATAGAGAAGAGATTGAAGTTGTCAAGAACTTCATTTTTTCTTGGATCAACCATCAATGGTCATGGAAGCGGCAGTCAAGAAATCAAATGACGTATTGCATTAGGTAAATCTGCTGCACAAGACCTTTTTAAAGTGTTGCAGAGCAAAGATGTCAGCTTGAGGACTAAGGTATACCTTACCCAAGCCATGGTATTTTCAATAACCTCATATGCATGTGAAAGCTGGACAGTGAATAAGGAAGACCGTTTAAGAACTGATGCATTTGAGTTATGGTGTAGCAGAATATTGAAAGTGCCATGGGCTGCCAAAAGAGCAAACATATCTGTGTTGAAAGAAGTGCAGCCAGAGTGCTCCTTTGAGACCAGTGTTTTCAAACTTTGTCTCTCATACTTTGGACAAGTTCTCACAAGGGACCAGTCATTGGAGAAAGATATCATATTTGGTAAGGTGGAGGGTCAGAGAAAAAGAGGAAGTTTCCCAGGTTGATGGATTAGGAAAGCGGCAGCATTAATGGGGTCAAGTGTGGCAACAATTGTGAGGTTGGCCCAGGACCAGGCAGCGTTCCATTTTGTCCTGCGTAAGGTCGCTATGAGTTGGTACCAACGTCTACCTTTACATTTCCAACCCTCACAGCACCTAAGAACAGTACAAACATCTTTCTGGTATTCTCTGCTTTCACTCAAGAGCCGTCTGAGGTAGGCAATGATTCCCTCTTTCCACGTCTTTGTTTGAATCTGGCTTGAACCTCTAACAGTTCCTTGTCAATGTACTTTAAAAAAAAATGTTTTATTGTGAATTATGTGATAGTTTACATGGGACAACATATGCTGTACATGCATCCTATCGTATATCATTTCATTTCCATGGTTACAAGCCCCTCTATGCATCATCAACCAATAAAAGTGTATACCCAGCAAGCCTTCCCCCCGGGGTTGTCAGCACACAGTCCCTCTCCCAACCTCTCCATCTCTCCAAGTCATCATCTCTGCCTCCATCTCTGGCGTCACTGCTTCTCTGGGTAGGGTCTCTCATGCTGCTCTTCTCCCTTGATGGTTCCAGGGACACCGGCTCCTGAGCTGTATAGTCAATCACTCCCTTCCTTTTGCTACAAAATGTCTACCTTTAAATTTCCAACCCTCACAGTCAGTCCTAATAATTATTCACCATTGTACCACAAGGGACCTATCCCCATCTCCTTTCATTAGTCCTGCCCAGACAGATTGGATACTACTCAATGGAGATTCTACCTTCCTCTGCAGCCTCTGGATCTAGGCTCCCTCTTGAAAACTTGTAAACCAGTCATTTCTTGCATTTGTAGCCCTGCCCCCACCGCAACATTTTGGGTAGCCAATGTCCAAGTTGCCCATCCCTGTCTACTCTGTGTACAGAGGGGGTGGAATTGTCAATGTACTCTTGCATACAGTAAACAAAATATTCTCCTGTTATCTCTACTTTTCTATAATATATTTTTACAGAAAACAAAAACAACCATTTAACATGGAGGTCTTTTTTGTTATAACATTAAATCATCTCTATATTGGACAATGAACTATAGACTGGCTAAATGAGACAATTAATTATTTTTTCCTTGCAGTCAAGACAATCCTCCTTCTCCTGAAGATAAATGTATGTGTTGCTTAAAATCTTTCCGGGCAATGTCCAATTGTATGTTGGTCTATAGTACAACAGGGTTCCTTTTCCTTTTCTTCTTTTAAGGGAACTCAGCTCTTTCTTGGTTTGTTTTCCCCATAAGGAGCTCTGGTAGCACTTTGTGTTATGTATTGACTGCTAACCACAAGGTTAGCCATTCAAACCTACCATGTTCTGCTGAGGAGGCAGATGAGGCTGTGTGCTTAGAGTGTTATAATCTCACAAATCCTAGATAGGGCTGCTATGAGTCAGAATTGACTTGATGGCAGTGGGTTTGGGTTTGGTTTGATTTAATGATTTTAAAGACCCAAACCTAGACCCTTAAAGCACTGGATCGTGAGTGGGACACAAACAAGTGAATCAGAGGACATGGATCTTGGTGTGGAGGCACGCATAGGAGGTAGGGGCTTTGGGGACTGGGTTGTCACCTGCTACTCAGGTGGTCAAAACAGTGTCCTGGGGAAAAATGTTTTTAAATTTCTCCCTGCTCACTTCTTGCTCTGCTCTAACCAAGGCCTTCTCAGGCATCACTGCTACCAACATGCATTGCTCTTGGATGTTGCTCCAACACCAGCAGCACTGACAGCAGCTGTGATGAGGACAAACAGAAATGTGCTCCCATAGGATTTTCATATGGTGTTCACACAATGATCAAATCCCATGATGTCCTGTGTCACAGAACCTATCATGGACTTTAAGCAATGTATATCTGACTTTTAGCCATTGCTTTAAAATTCACTGATCTAGGGCTACAGTACAAACCTCGATCTAACATCCATCTCCAACAACTTCAATAGTTTAAGCCAGGACTTGATGTGATCCACATACAATCTACACACCCATGCTAAGGAATCATCCAGAACCCCATATTACAGGAAGCACTAAAGTCAGAAACAAGTAAGGGTCATGACCACAAATTACAGATATTGAGTCCATCCCAGTAGGATAGATCAAGTTAAATGAAACATCAACATTATGTCGTTCAAATATCTTGTAAATGGCACTGCTCAACTGACTTTTATACATGACAGATTTGACACAATCTATGGTGAATCCCGATGTTTCTTTCAAGGTGAATAAGAACCCTGCAATGTGGACCATGGACTGGCGTGTGGTGTCCCAGATACTTGAACCTGATTTAGGGTGTTGTAAGTACTCTTATGTGCATTTCAGTGCTTGACCTACAACTAAGCATATTGAGATGCTACAGACATCTAAAGGAAGAAATAGCAACCAATTTCACTTTTATTTATTTGAATTGATACAAGAGGTTTTAGAGACAGAAAGTATCCAGGGTTAAAGCAATGTGTTTCTAAGTAAGCAGGTCATGAATCTAAAGGTAGAAGAAAGCAGGTAAGAACTGGGGAAATTCTGTGAGCACAAAGAACAGTTTCTATTGCACTGACTGAGACTTCAGTATGAATTTGAACAACATTAATGACTGCCTGCAGCATTGTTCCCATTGCACCATATAGCCTATGTTTTGTAAAACACAACTTTAAACTAAGTTTTGGAATGTAGCATTTGAAGACAATTTGTTTTACTTGAAAATGATTTCAAAATAAGTGTATAGAAATTAGTATAAATCAAAAACATACTAAGAATTCTTTCTGGCATCAAAAATACTGCCAGCAAAAAACCTGCTAGCCTCTCAAATATTATTTTTCCCCAATCTCTGCCTAAGTCATCATACCATCACTTACCAAGTAATTGCTCTTGACTCAATATTTGATTTCCTTTTATCTTCCACCAGAATTAGCAATATATGCATTGCAAATGGCCTTACATCATAGACATTTGAGTTTCAATTAATTTTTTCCTGTTTCTCAATGATGTTTAAATATAGAATGGCCTGTTGTGGGTATCCGGGAAAAGGCACATTTATGCAGACTTATTCAGAAACCAGAGTAAAGACAGAAAACAGAAGGACCAGTCCTCAAACTTACCAGATTTTGGGTATGTGATTATAAAGACATCTTCATCTCTAATTTCAAAATCATCTAGGTTTTCTAGTACGTCAATATCAATCAAAGAACGCTCAAAGTAATAGCCTTTGAAATTCAATAAGTATGTGTCGGTGTCATCCATAATTATTTACCTACAAGGAAAACCAAGATATTCTTTTCAAGTTCTCTGTGTTTTATAATAATGAACAAAAATATGGACTTAAACAATGAAAGCAATAATGTTGTCAAACATGACACAATTGTGAGGATGGTGCAGGACCAGGAAGGGTTTAGTTCTGTTGTGTATAAGATTGCAAAGAGTTGGAATTGACTCAAGGGAACCAAACAACAACAACAACAACACTTATTCAATGCTTAGTGTGTGCCTGGCAGCATTTAAATGTCTTGTCTTATCAACTCATTTATCATAGTAATGATTTTATAAATATCGAGTTATTTAATCTCCAGAGCAACCCAATAAAATAGGTGATGTACCATTATTATTTTAAAGATGAGAAAATTGAGATGCTAGGAGGTTAAGCAACTTTCACTAAAACACAGTGCATGAGGTATTCTTATAATTTCAAATATACAGATAAAGACATTAAGTCACAGAGATACTAAGCAAATTGCTCAAATTTGTCCAGCAAGCAGAAAACAGAACCAAGATGGGAATTAAGCAAACTGGCCACAAAGTCCATGAATTTAATAATTTCAGTGTAGAGGTAATAAGTATTTTCTATTTTTATATATTGCATTATTTCATTATTTTGGCTATAAGCTCTTTTAAGACAGTATTGCTACCCACTAAAGTAGGATGAAGATCACTGACTTGGGTACTATGCTATGTCCGTTGATATAAGTGTTTCCTGAGACTGTGGTTCTAAATTCCTAAATACAATGACTTATTCCCTGAAGGTATTTGGTGATGGCCAAGAAGTTTTCATAACTTTTCCTTCTGTATAGTCTGCTGTATATATGGGTATATTTTCAACACATATAAATAAATATATGGAATCTTGGCATAGTCCTGTAGGATAAGCACTGGATTCCTAGCCACAATGCTAGCAGTTTAATACCACCAGCTGCTCTTTGGAAACCCTGACTTGAAGGCACTTACCAACAACAACAACAGCTGTAAAAAATACATTTATAGAAATATCTTCTTTCAAACCTACACGTATGGTTTCATTAATCTTCTCACTCCACAACAGTTTCTATTGTCTTCCTAAGTACCTAATTATAGATTATTGTTTATTATTATTGTTATATCAAGGTTGTGTATGTAACAGTATTTACCTTTAATTGCTTTAAGTGTTGTGTACTTCCCACTATTTTCTTATACCTTGGTCATATTTTGCTGTCCTCTTCCTTATTGTATATTACCTTTTCCTTCATACTAGTGAACCTGGAGTCCTACATTGAGCACTGGACTGCAAGGTAAGTATGAACTGCAAGGTTTTTCAAACTTACCAGCTGCTCATCAGTACCCCTATCTTCTCTGCTAACTATCAAAGAATGTTTCATTCTGTGCATTAACATTTTTTTTTTTTTTTGCTTTTATAATAGTGATTTCATACCCTATTCGTCCCTTTTTGATAGATTTATTTCACTCATCATAATGTCTTACATTTTTAACCACATTTTAAAGTGTTTCAGAAACTCATTAACATTTTAAAGTATTATATTATGTGCATGTATAATAGTGTTTCATTCAGTAATCCATTTCTGGATACGTATGCTGTGTCCAATCTTTTGCCATTGAGAATAATGCGTGGTGAACATAGATTTCTGTCACAGCTCTTATTTCTCTAGACTGTATACCAAATACTAGGACTACTGGGTCACATGGTATTTTTATATCCAATGTTTTAGGGACTGCAATACCACACTTCTCAATAGTTAGACCATTCAACAGTCTCATGAGTAGTGTGTAAGAGTTCAAGTCTATCCACACCCTTGCTAGCATTTATTGTTTTCTGTATTTTTTAATATCCTATTATTAGTAGGGTAGTAATATCACATGTTGTTGTTCAGTTTTTTGTTTTTATCACATCTCTCTACTTAGTTCATGTTTTTACAAAGTTATAAATATGGCTCAGTCTAAATTGTATCTCAATAAGCAACACAGCTTTTTTACATATAATCTAACTCACCTAAACAATAGGGGTTAGGTTATTACTCTTATTAGAATAGCCGGGGCTACTCATAAAAATTCAGGGCTGTGGGCCCGATTCTAGACTGGCAGAAACAATTCATGGGGTGTGTTACTGGGAAATCTACATTTTAACAATACCACTATTCACACTGAAAAATAAGCACAATAATGATAAAGCATTATCTGGCTTACAGATGAAATTTTACCTCAACATTGGTACTTGATGTCCAATTATGAAACACATAACCCAACTGAACTGCTAGAGGAGTTCTGCTCTCCTCCTGCAAATTCAAAGCCAGGCAACCTGAGGCATTGAGACTTGGACATAGAACAATGTTAGGGATAAATTATAAAGAATGACTTCAACTGGGATATATGTAGAGTCGTTTTTACATTGAACCACACATTTTTCAGAAAACACCTTGGAAAACTCAGGCTTTGAAGGAGATGGGAGAGAATTTATACTGGGCAATGTAGAAAACAAACAAGCAAACAAAACCAGAAATTCTTAACTAAGAAAAATAGCTGCAGTGAAAGGCAATGATGAATGTGTGAGTCTCTATCACATAGCTCCTACCATCCCTTGGTATTGCCTAAACATAACCCAGAAAGGGAGTCCTCATGTGGCCTTGTGGGATTAAGCGGTGGCCCAAAAGGCTAGTTTGAGTCACAGAGTCAGGAGCTCAAACTCACCAGTTGCTCCTGGAAACCCTATGCAGGTTCTCTGTGAATCAAAACTTACTTGATGGGACTTAACACCAAAAACAACACAAAGACACAGGTTCTCAAAACTCAGAATATTAAAAAATTGAAAAAGAGAGTCAGCCAGTACATACAAACATTCTGAACATCATTTCTCTTCTTTGTATTTGTTTATTTTACTACTTAATATATTATTTCACCCACATAGAGGGAAAGGATCATATTAGATGTTGTGTCATAGGGGTAAATAGGGTGGGGAAGGAAATGAGATCGAATCAAGCAGTATCTTTGGTGTGGAAGTCCCATATTGTTTGCATCTCCGTGATGAACATAGGAAAATGTGGTTTCATAGAGAGAAGAGATGTGTCATATATTCCTTCTACTCTTTTATAGAAGTTCTAGACAAAAGGGGAGGGGGAGGTAGAAAATTGGAGGGAAAATGAAACAAAATACACTTTTCATACTAAGAAAATGATGAGACTTAAAAGATGTTCTAAGTCTACTCACAGTTGAAGATGAGCAGATGCAGCAAAATCCTCCTCTTTAAAGTTTTAGGGATGAGAGAAACTGATGTGGCAACAAGAAATAAATATTCCAACAGGATTTAGTTTGGCCAATGAGTCATGTTCTTGAGAATTAGCAGTTGGATTAGCTTTGATAAAATGGATAATGTTCTGTTGAGATTAGAAAAATGATATTAAATTACTCCAGAAAGCTCAAGGGAATCAAATGTGTCAGAGATACTCTAGAGAACTGTGAGTTAACATAAGCCGCATTTACATAACTTTGGCAATAATACACCTAAAAACAAGAACATTTCAAAGTGTACTACAACTTAGAATATCGTCCTTCCTTGGGCAAGAGGGATACTTAGAAAAATGTTTTAGACGGATCTCAAAGGTTTTTATATAAATCATTTTAATTTCTTTTTCTGTCACTGTCCCCAGTTTCTCTTGTTAAATTGGCTATGGTGATAAGAAGGTACCAGGAGCTTTACAAAATTACCGAACATTTAAATTCATTTTCCAATTTCAAAAGTTATATTTCCTAAGCAATGCCCTTCCTCTGCTAGCATTTTCTTGAAAGGCAAACTTTATAGAAAAGTCATCTTGTCTTCATTGTATTCTATACTTCAGTGTCGTTAATTGTTGTAGGTTCTGACTCAGTGACCCTGTATAAGGGTTCTAAGGAGCAGCTGGGGAGGATGAACTGCCAACTAGTCCAGTGCTGAACCTATAGTGCCACACCAGGAATTCTAAGTGGTGTTTATGTCACACCTCTCCTAACACCTTCCCCATACTCTGCATTTTTCACTCACTTGCTCCCTGATAAACAGTCTGTGCTGATGATTCTCAGGTTTCCACTCCATATAGATTATAGTCTCAGATGATTTAAAAAAATCTTTGCAATGTACAAATCCTTACTGGTAAGGAAATAGGGTTTAATCTAAGGACAATTTCAGCTTGTGAATGTTATCTTTCTCTTGTTTCTCATGTTCTTAAATTAAGACAAGAATCCATTCTCAAGAGCTGCATAACTGGAGGAGCAGCAAACAGCAGGAATAGATGTAATGTGTATGTAAGAAGTAAACTCACTGACAAGAGTCAATTGTGATTCCCAGGGAACATATAAGACTGAGTAGAACTGCCCCATAGAGGTTTCAAGGCTATAAATCTTTAAAGAGCAGACTGCCACATCTTTCTTCTTCAGAGCAGCTGAGGGGTTTGAAACACCAACTTTGTCATTAGTAGTGGAGCACTTAACCATTGTGTCAGCAGGGATTCTAGGTATTAAGTAAATTTTATAAAATGAATTCCTCAGCCAAAACGTCCTGATTTTCTAACATGAAATGTCATTGAAACAGTGATGCATAGTACCTTTTAATAAGGTTGCGAATAGCATGGTTGGTTATGTGCCGTGGAGTTGATTATGACTCATAAAGACCCTGTACAGGGTTTCCAAGGTTGTAAATCTTTACGGGAGAAGAAAGCCTCATCTTTCTCCTGTGGAACATCTGGTAGTTTCGAACTTCTGACCTTGAGGTTTGCAGCCCGATTCGTAACCACTACACTAGCATAGTTGCCTTAATTCCATATCAAACAGTGAGATGATGCATCTAGCAGCTCAGCACATTGTTAGAGTTTTTTGGTCCATGGTGAAATGCTTGGTCTTGTAAGATTCTGAAGGGAATGCTATATTTTACTAATAGTTTGCCCAAAATATTAACTAAAGTAAACATAGAAGAAAAAATTTGGAAAGCCATGTGCAATTGCGATATAATG